GACTGGATTAAGAAAATGTGGCACATATACACCATGGAATACTATGCAGCCATAAAAAATGATGAGTTCATGTCCTTTGCAGGGACGTGGATGAAGCTAGAAACCATCATTCTCAGCAAACTATCGCAAGAACAGAAAACCAAACATCACATGTACCACTTATAGGTGGGAATTGAACAACGAGAACACTTGGACACAGGGCAGGGAACGTCACACACCAGGGCCTGTTGAGGGAGGGGGACTCGGGGAGGGATAGCACTGAGAGAAATGCCTAGTGTAAATGACGACTTGATGGGTGCAGCCAACCAACATGACACATGTATACCTATGTAACAAACCTGCACGTTGTGCACATGTACGCTAGAACTTAAAGTATAATTTTTTTAAAAAAAGAATGAGTGCTTAATGTGACATACTGGCAAGGACATATATTGGAAAGGAAAGTACTTTCTTCTCTCTATATTCTGTTGCAATTATCTATTTATTTACTTATCTGATTTCCCCATTACTCTAAGGAATAAGACATATTTAATGATTTTCAACTTTGGCTGCACATCAGAATCACCTAGAAAGTACTTTAAAAATACAATACCTGATTTAGTCAGCTTAGAGGTTTTGTACTCCAGTATTAGTTAAAAGCTGCCATGTGAGTCTAATATGCAGCTTAGGTTAAAAATACCTAGTGGAGGGTACCTTAGTACTAGCACAAGCTCTGGCACATAGTAGGTGTTAAATAAATATTACCTGGAAACTTGAATACAATCATTAATGTGTCTTTTATGAAACAAATATGAAACATGTGGTTTAGATTTTTACCTTCATAGGTCTGCTTTCTTTTACTGAAGAACACACAAAAAAATTCACATCCCATGGATGAACAACACATGTATTTGTGCTGCTTTAGATTATAATACTTAGTTATCAACTTAAACAGTGATTTGGAATCATTCATTGCAAACAAATGAATGCATTTCGGTTAATTTTTCACAGTAGCTACTCTAGCAAGTCAGTGAGCTCTCATGATATAGGTCTACAAGTATCATTCTTAATCTTTTATCAGGGTTGGGCATGGTGATTCACGCCTGTAATCCCAGTACTTTGGGAGGCTGAGGTGGGAGGATCACTTGAGCCCAAGAGTTGGAGGTTACAGTGAGCTATGTTCACATCATGGCTGTCCTGCCTGGACAACAGAGTAAGACTTTGTTTCTAAAAACTAAAACCAAAAAACAAAGAAACCCCATAATGGCATTTAAGATGGAGCAGAAAAATGTATCTGTTAGCTTATAATTGTGTTAAAGCAAAAGTATGTGTTATACTTATGTATACACAAATATAGAGGTGTTTTTGTACCACAATTGTGCAAATTTTAACTTCTGCTTTTTCTAGAAATTCATTTCTTTCCCCAACACATATTATCAGGCATTTTTTTGAATATAGCATTGTTCAGTGATTAATTGCAAATGGCTTATTCTAGGTACCTTATTTTTGAAGTCCATTACTAGACATTTGTATGAGGGTCATAGGAGGTAGTTTTTCTGTGAACTATCTTTTATCTTGAATAACTCACCACTGAGTCCATATCTACTTTTTTTAAAAGTTCCAACTAAGTAATCTTATGTTAGATAAGGTTTGATTGTGCTTTGGGGATGAATCTCACTTCTTGTGAAGATTACAAATGGAATGGTTATATTCCAAATGGAATATTTGTAATGTTCCATTACACTGGATATTACAAATGGAATAGTTATAATGTTTCTATATTATTTAGGAGAGGCCTTGATAGATGAACCACAGGAAAGGTATTGTACAAATTGGTGCTATATGCTGAATATTTTCTGATAAAGTTGAATTTTCTAATTGGTTTTTTATCTTATTCTCATAAGCAGAAATGATATAAGAATAGAAACTATAACTCTCAACCTTTATTGTAACAAAGCATACAGCTTATTGTAGAAAAGCGTAACACGTTCAACTGGTATCTAGTTAAATGCTTGTTTTAACTTACAGAATGAATGAGAAAAAATTGTTCAAAGTTACCACGGTGGAAAAACTAATATAAGCCTCAAAAATCAATACCTAATGAAAAGACTTAACAATACAGTGGATGCTGATCTCCATATTTGAATATGGATCAAAATTTTCTGGTGATTAATAAATATCAAGTATTATGCACAAATCCAGATTCCCTGAAACAGAATCTTGGAGGTGGTTGTAGAGGAAAAAATAGTGGGAAAGAATCCTGGGAATGTGTATTTTTTTTATCTGTATTTTTAGTTCTGGGGTACATGTGCAGGGTGTGCAGGTTTGTTACATAGGTAAACGTGTGCCGTGGTGCTTTATTGCACCTATCAACCCATCACCTAGGAATTAAGCCCAGTATGTATTAGCTACAGGAATGTGTATTTTTAGTAAGCCCTCCCTTTTCTACCCCACGTGATTCTTATGCAAGCCATGGGGCAAGTCTGCGGTCAAGCATTTGAGAATCTCTGGTATAGTGAAATGTACACTGAACAAAGAGTTAAAAATCTTAGGCTCTAATCATAGATCTGGGACAAATTACTTAACCCTGACAAATTTGTCTTCTTGGTGAGGCGCTTCATTTCTTAATAACTTTTCCCATATTTTGTAAGGTCCACTGTTGCCTAATATATTGTGATTCATCAGTTTTATCTTTCATGACTTCCTAAAGCAAACCTCTTACAGAGGAGTAAATACACAATAACATGATTAACTTCAAGAGAAGATTAAACTGCCTATATATTCCACAAGAAAAATTCCTAGCTCAGGACTGAACTGTGTCCTGCACCAGGAGCTCACGCATGTATATAGCATGTTTTTACCTGTGTCCATTATCTGGGTTATATCCATTAATGGTCAATAAATTAGAAAAATCTATGGCTTCCCATTGATTCTTAACATTTCAAAAGCATGTTACCACCAACAGATATCTACCCCTAAACATCAATACAAGAGATTTGCAAAAACACGTCTATCTTCCAGTCTTATCAAGCACCATTCTGATGTTCTAATAATTTCTTATAATCAGCAAATAGAAGTGTCTGTCAATAAAATCTAATAATTTCCTGATTACTGACTTTAGTCATTACATATATATGCTGTGTATATGCCTAGATCCATATTCCTACATCTAACAGTGCTTAACCATATTATCTGGCAGAGAAGAGAGGCTCATGAAATATTTGTGGAATTAATAAAAGCAGCAAGACAAGAAGGGAAGGAAGAACAAGCAATAGAAAAAGTTGGGCTTATTTTAATGAGGGTAATGAAGTCTTCCATCACTGGGCACTTCACCATCTACCTCCATTAGCTTATGAATCTTCCATAGGAAATATGTTGGGGCATGTGGACTTCCCTTAAATGTAGAAAAACAAAACAAAACAAAACAAAAAACCCAAGATATTTAGTAGAAAGACTTTCAGGATTCGTTCTGAAAGGAATAGCTCACCTTTCTTTAAACAGAGGCTTTCATTGACCAGTTTTCCCTCCTTGTTGACGTCTATTTTCATCCAGCTATGGAGGTATTTCCTGGCCTTCTTGACCACTACTCTGGAGCCTTGTTTCTGGAGAAAGAGAGATGTATTTTCCACCTCAAGGAAGCCTTCCTGATTATAGCAGGTCCATCGGGGTGCCTGGGAACACCGGTCCAAGATGGCTGAGCGGGAGGGGCCACGAGAGGAGTTGGAGATGGCCAAGCATAGTGCAGATTTAACATGAAGGAGCTTTTCATCCTCAGTCCATGTCCACTGCTGGTTCTGGATGGTCCTATTGCATGAGCCCACGACCACTTTCTCATTTTTGAAAAGACACTGTTGTTTCTGGACATGGACAATCTGAAACCCTTCTGGAAGATGAAAAGCTCATAAAGCACTAGGTAGCAAATTATGAGGCCCATTAGAAAACGGAAGAACCCACCCACAAATGAGCTGAATAAAATCACTAGTTTTACTTATATTTTGTTATTGCTATCATTTCAAGTGAATATTCTCATATTTAACGCGTGATTTTAAATTCCAAAGCTGACGATGTAAAATGTCAACATGTCACACTTAACGCCCCATCTTTTTTTTTTTTTTTTTAATTTTCACATGCTTTAGGGGACAAAAACACACCTCTTATTGGAAAATGAAAGGAAGCTTGGAAAGAAACAAAATCATCCAAAGTATACAGTATATTTTAGCCCAATTAGTTAGATATTCTGAAGTTATGAAACGCTCAGTTCCCTTTTTAAACATTTGACATATTCGATATAACCTTCCTCCCCTACCTTAAAAAGGTACCCCCTTTTCCAGTCTTTAAATTCACATTGCAGTATTTGTATACAAATTTCATAGTTTGAATAACAATTTTTAAAAATTGCATACATTTATCAAAAAATAAAACAAATGTTCCCACTTCTCCAAGCACAACCTCCTAGCTAATTGCAGCCCATGAAAGTATTGATTATCACAAACTAAATTTCCTTTAGTCATGGAGAGGAACATTTCTCTATCTTATGACAATATCTACAGTTTTCTCTCAAATACTAATAGATCTTTTAAAAATCATCATTTTCCAATGTAAGAAAATTAAACATCCAATTGCTAAACATCAGTATTAAAATGCAAGATATTCTAGCTCAGAAACAATTTTCAATGAGGTTTTACTTAAATTGCCCAGCTCGTTCATGAAAATGTTCAGCCTTGCCAAATGACAACTTCCAAATAAAACACACTACATTTCGTCACCCACTTTAATCATATTTCTTCCATTTTCTTTCTTTAACACAAAAGAAAATAAAACTATAACCGGGTTGGAAAAAGGCTTGGGGAAAGCCACAGACTGTTACATAACATAGACTTTTCCTCGGGGTTCTTTATGCTCTGCTCTAAATGTATCATTTCAGGGGCTGCCTCAAGCATTGGAGGATGAGAGGAGAGCATTTATTTTCTTTTGGAGAGAAATCTCAACAGTGTGGGCATAGCTGGCTCCTTTTATTCCCGCTTTTCATCGTCTTTGGCTAAACTGCCATGGAGACCTGGCCCCTTCCACCTCATTTTAGACACTTTTCAAAGACCAGAGACTCCTTGGCTAGATCTGGAAGAAATGCCTCAGGAAACTGAGGCAGACTCACTCACCTGAGTTCCTGAAGATCAAGCAGGTAAGAATCACCATGTAAAATTCAGCCTCCATTTTCCACTTAGCAACTGTTCATGCTTCGCTTGGGAAAAAAAAAAAATTCTCCCAGATAAGAGAAGCAAAGACTAGGAAGGAAATGTGCCTTCATGGTGGGGGGAAAAGTCAGTGACGAGCACTTCCTCCTATTGAATTGTTTGGGGAAGTTTTACACCAGTGTCCTTTTGTCTGTTTCCTTAGAAAGAAGGGATTATGATTACCTCTCTTTTTTTTTTAATGTAGAAAATATTCCAGCCTTCAAGAGCAGAGTAAATCTTATTAAGACCTTACCTACCTTTCCTTTGGCGTGTGACTACTTCTTAACCTCAAGAAGAAAGAAAGGAATTGTAATCTTAGATAATTGAATGTTCCTGAAACATTACATCTCTTCAGGTGATGTGATTCTGCTGAATAAACACAAGCCATGTAATTCATGAGGGTCTATGACAAGTGACATAAAGACATAAACACGTACTGTTTGTATAATGATATGCTGCGAGTCTATTGAGGAAAACCACATAATGATGGCACTTCTAGATCACTATCTCCCAAGTGATGACAATATTACATTTTGAGATCGTCATCTTCACTGGGGAGATGCAGACACTAAAATTAAATCCATCACATTATCTACTTTGGTCTTCCCCAAACAGATGATGGCCTCTTTCCAACTAGGAAAAAAAAAAAAAAAAAAGAATATGCTTTACTCAGTGTTTAGTATTAAGAGTTTATTGGCAGTATGAAACAAAGTCAACATTGCTGCATTAAAAATTCATATTTGAGCAGAACAGCTAGTGTTTGCTGAGGGTAGTTATTTGAATTTTTTTTGTCTCTTGAAGGTTGAAACCTTTCAGAAATGTAAGGACATACATGGAAATGTCCTTATAAGGAACCTCTGAAAATGGGACAGGTTATATCATTCCTGAAGGCATATACATTTTGTTGAGAGAGAGATTCCAGGTAGATTCCAGATAGCATATTCAAAAATCCCTTCTTAGCAAAAGAGTGACACGTAGTTAAAATTTTTGATACTTCATAGTTGCTACAAATTTGTTTTTCCCTTTTAAAGTAAAATGACTCACAATGTAGAAATACAGTGGATAGAGTTCTGGAGCAGAAGCCACCTCTATGACCAATAATAGAGAGTAAATACATATATACCCGATGACAATCATTGTGCTCTGTAATTGTTTGATAGGAGGTACTATAAATACACATTTAATAGGTAATATTATCAAGACACATTTCCATATAAAATAGTTACTGCTTTTGATTTTTGTTTTTCAAAAACAAAGACTTATTTGTTAAAAATCCATTATCAACCACTTGCAACTTTAGCAGCAAGATTCTGGTAACTGAGAAAGGTAATAGCACTTCAAAACAGGAACAGTTTAACAGCTGACAGTCCATTCACAAGACAGATTTTGCAAACATTAAAGCATCTAACACATAATACGAATGTCTTCAGCAGCTCATCCAGTCATCACCTGATGACATTTATTACTGAATATTACATACATACATTCTGTGTGGCAGATAGAGTTCGTACAGACAAAACAAAATCTGCCTTAGGCTGTGTGAGAAACCTATCTTACCTCCATCATCAAAAAACCTTCGAAATAATTTGGGGGATGCTTACAAATGCATTCATATACACAAGGAGCTGGCAATCTTAAATATGTTGCCCAGTCTTCCACAATCCATCCCATACGTTGTCTTCAAAGCCTCTCCTTCCCTCCATTGCAGGAAGCTCCTTCTAGAAGCCTTGGGTGGGTAATTTGACTAACCACCCACATCAAGAGATTGATGGTCTGACAAGTCTTCAATGACTCACTGAACAGTCTCTGCTGAAAGTCTGCTCTCATACAGGCACAGAGCATGGTGCACAAATTCATACTGCTCACTGGTTTGCACCATTCCACCTCTGCAAGGAAGAAATCACAAAATAACTTCATTTTGCTAAAATCTTGCAATTTCAAGTAACACGGAGATTACATCCAAGCTAGGGTGTTATGTCAAAGACACATAGAACAGTCGACCTAGTGGTTCTTTTGTTATTCCTCTAACCTGTGTCCAAATGTCTCAACTATCAAAGTGAACATGCTAATGTATATAAAGGGCTTAACACAGTCCCTGGCACCCAGTAGGCATGTGATTAATTTTACTTATGTAACATTACTGGGGAGGTGGTAAGTCTAATGATCAAGTACTTGGATTTGGCATCAGCCAAGGTGAGTTCAAATCCCTCCTCTGTCAATTCTTAGCCATACGTTCTTGGACAAATTCCTCAAAACCCCTTGCACTTTAGTTTCCTACTCTGTTAAAGCAGGATAGTAAGAGTAAGTACTTTGTAAGGTTGCTGTGAAGGTTAAAGAGATTCAGTGTAGCTGGTGTATTGATATTACTTCTGAGCTGCCTCATGATTCATCTCGTGTTAAAATGGTTTATACATTTGGCTTAAAATTGATTGACAGAGACAAACCAAACCAAACTCATCTGCAAAATGTTGCTCTTTCTACAAGTAAAAATAAGTCTACCTTGGAATGGTTTATTTGAATATGTTGTATGGAAGCAACCTTAGCCTTTGGGTGTACTGGGTGTCTAAACACAATAGTGGGTGAGTCCTTAAATGAGTTGGAAAAAGGGAATTGGCTCTGCTCTGGCATTTTACTCTTGGTTATCACCATTATCACTAGCTGCTCAGCACCTTTCTTGTCAATGGATTCATAGAAGGCACTTGGCTTCACGAGAAATAATGGCGCTTCTCCTTATGTTTTTATATACATAATACCTATATCACATTTTCCCCCTTCATAATTATGATCCTTTTTTTGTTTCAGTTTTTGAGACGAGGTCTCCTTAATCGCTTAGGCTGTTGTGCAGTGGCATGATCACAGCTCAGTGCAGCCTCGACTTCCTGGGATCAAGCAAGTCTCCTACCTCAGCCTCTGGAGTAGATGGGACTACAGGCACCACCACACCTGGACAATTTTTTGATTGTTTTTTCTTGTAGAGACAAGGTCTCACTATGTTGCCTAGGCTGGTCTCCTGGACTCAAGTGATCCTCTTGTCTCGGGCTCCCAAAGTGATAGAATCACAGGCGTGAACCATGGTGTCTAGCCCTATAATTATGATTTTTTAGCTTGACAAAGTTACAAGACATTAATATGTTACTTACTATTCCTGCTCACTGTATAAAAGCATCACTGTCGGTAACTATTTGAAGTCTTGTAAAGTCTCTGTAACTCTGCAATCATGCAACAAATCTTATCTTTTAGTTTAACTCCATGTTTTAACCAGATTTTTCCAAGTGGCTGTTAGTATCATTCAAAATAACTTTGATTATTTAGGCACTTCAACTTAAAAACAAGATATCTTGTCTCACTGTAACAAGACTTCTAGTTAATGGTAATAATAAAAACTGGGCTTGTATCTATGTTTATTTGTCAACCTATGTCAATTTTAAAGTCAGTAAAACTTCCCTGTTTTAAACAGTGATTCCCCAGGAAAATTAACATGATGCCAAAATGATGTATTTGGCAAAAAATAAAGAGGTAAATTCACAGTTTTTGGTGACAGCAACTTATTGACAGAAGTATTTGATTGGTCTTTCTCCCCTAGAACTGTACATTTTGTTGCACTGAAGGCAACCATCTGGGCAAAGTATTCCTTGGTCAGAAGTGAACAACAGAAATGGCCAGCTGAGAATGTGGTAATGGTTTCTCTTCTTAACTGTGTGATGACATCTGGGCTCACCTAAAATCATAGCAGGTGTTCTGAAGATGGTGTCTTGAACTGTGAAGCTTGGGAGACACCACCACAGTAAATATTAGGGTAGCTCCAGGGAGCTGAGAGGTGCCTCCCTTCCTCTGGCATTTGCACAGCTCAGGGCACCATTACTCCCCCTTGAGCTCCAGACAGTATGTGGAAGCTTCTATGTGCTCCACCTCTTAGGCTCTGGTCTGTCAACTTCCTCTCACCATTTACCTCACTTTGAGGCAAGATTTTCCCCTTCTTGTATGTTCTGGTCAGCACTGGTATTTACATATCCAACTGGTGAATGAATGGAGACACAGTTTAGATTTTAATAACTGTTTTGCCCTAAGTGGGTCAGTGGTGTAATTTAATGGTTGGAGTATATTTACTATGACATTCTGTTCACTAAATCAAGGTTGTTTTAGCCAGTGAAGGTGGCGAAGATGGGGAAACATACTCATTAATTGTGGGCTGGCAATATTCTTGCAGGTCTGAAGGCTTCAGGAAGGTATTATGAAAAATTCTCTTACCTCCCACTTAATTTGGAAAATAAAAATGAAAAAAAAATTGGCATTAGAGGAATCCTTAGAGATCATCTACTCTAGTCACTGAAAATATAGCTTTTTTAGAAATTTTGCAATTTTAGAGGCAGGCTTTCCCAAGGTTGGCAGGAAAACTTTTAAGACATCAACATGAAGCTGCCCCTTTCTAACTTTCACCTCATTGGTCCAACTGAAATAACCCAAAAGAAGTCTTAAGGCTCCACTGTGGTCACACAACAGCTCTCCAAAGGCTGGAAAACAGCCATCAAAGTCTTATAATCTTTTCTTCTTTAGACTAAACATCCTGTGGTCGCTCAGTATTTCTGAACAGCCTGGTTTATCTGTCACTCACCACTCTAGTCTCCCTCTTCTACAGGCTATTTTATCAAATATGACCTTCTTAGAGTGTTGTGTCTCCTCCTGATGAGATCTATGAAGTAGGCTTATTTTCTCCTCCAGCTGTACATTAGAGACCAATAGATTTGTGTTTGCGGGTGCATCAGGTGGTGAGGTCCCCCAGTGCCTACACGGTGTCTGGTGCTCCATAGTATTTTAAGGTATTAACTGATGGTGTAGATTAAATAAAAAGCCAACTGACTTTTTTTGAATGTGGACATTTCAGCTTTCTTCCATCCTGTAATTATGCTACTGAAGTTTTGAGACTAAATGCAAGGCTTTCTATTTATTCTTGTTAATTTCAATTTGTTAGTTTCAGCACAATGCTCTTGTTTACTACATCACTATCTATCAGTCAATGTTAGTCTTC